AAAAAAAAAAAAAAAAAAAAAAAAAAAACACACACACAATTGAATTGATTATTGGGTTTTACACTATTTTTCTATCTAGTTCAAAGCAAAATCCCCCCATTATATCTACCTGACTCAATCGTCGAGCCCACTTACTATTAACACATAATAATAGCATTAGTATGATAGTATATAAATGCAAATCCTACTCTCTACAAACCACAAACTTACGCACGACTCCTTTTATTGTTAAATTTTTTCTATTGTGTGTAGAAAATTTTACTTCTTTATCATACTCTAGAGCTTGTGCAACGTTTAGCGAGAATGAAGCTAACGAAAAGGTACATTTTTTTATTTAAATCTTAGTTAAGATCATTGTGAATAGATAGTATCGTTGTATTCTCTACTTACATTTCTTGTTTACCATATATGAATCAACTTTGAGTGCTGATATATGCTAGTAAGACTTGTAGGAAAGAATGAATCAAGTAATTTCAATGCACAACAATTAATAATGAAGAAAAAGTTTAATATTGTTATATTTATAATATTGTTTATTACATTTGTATTTTGTAATTGAAAATTGGGATAATATTTGCATTTTCGTTTGGAATATTGTGTTTTTATTTTCTTTGACTTTTTTCATAAATTGTTTTACATCAATTTGACGGATGAACCTATAAGAAATAATTTATTTTCGTGGTTATTAACCGAATCGGACCGTGCCGAACCGAATCGAACCAATTTACGTGGTTATGGTGCTGTTATGATATGGTCAAAAAATTGATTGTGCGGTTATGATTTTGGTCGAATTGACTCACAACCGAACCGTTACCAACCCTATGTACAGCATTTATTGTCACAACATTTTTCAGACTCCCTCACAAAGGTGGGGTTCTTGATTATTTCAATCGTGGATCCTATCCACTTATATGTGTGTAAAAAAAGATGTGAACAATATGTTGTACCTACAGCAGAATCCAATGGGCCCTACCTAGCAAGAAAACAACGAAGTTTTGACAGCTAATTAAAAAGAAACAAAATAGAGTGGACTTCAAGTCTTCAACCAAGTTGATGATTAAAAATTAGGGTAAATTAAAATAGCAGTCCCAAACTTTTCAAATTTTTGTAGACTTATCTTAATCTTTACTTTGTACCATTCACAATCTCAAACCTTTCAAAATTTAGCAATTGGGGTCTTAGTGAATGATTTCTGTTAAATTGACTGTTAGTTGACCCAATAAATTTGATTTTAACCAATCTTATAGAAGGTAAAATGGTAACTTTGAATTAAAATTTAAAAACTAAAATAATAATAATAATAAAATCAAAACCCAATCACTATTCATCTTCTCCTTCACCACCCTCCTCCACGGACTTTGCCACTGTTTCCGCCAACATTTCCTCCCTAATTATTCCCTCTCGATTCTTTCTTCAATCTTCAAAGTGGAATCAATTCTTCCATTTTTCATATAAAAAAAATATAGTCTTCTTCACATTCCAACAAACCCCAAGTTCCAAATCCTAATGTTGGCTTCAGTGGTAGCACAGCCTATCTTTCCCACCACTTAAATTCCAGGTTATCGCTGTCTTATCTCATGACCCAAAAAACTATAGTTGGCTGGTGCGTATTGGGGGAAAATCGGGCATAAGAAACCCAGTCATAAAGGGCATTGATGTCTTGAATAGTGTACTTGCATTTACCCAAATCTTATTAGACTTGTCGACGCGGGGTGGGTTAGGTGGAGGTGGTCAGTTTGGTTTCTGTGAGGGAGAGGGTGGGGGAATGACAATCGTCGACATCGGATGAGATAGGTGGTCGACGGTGGTGGGCTTTGTGTGTTTTGTTCTTCGGTGGCTCTTGGTTTGTTACAGTGGCGACGAGAGCTAGATTTGCAATAAATCACATGAATGTTGCCGGCGTAGGGTGGTGCTAACTTTCAGGGTGGGTCGATGTCGGTGGTTACTTGATAGTTTTTGGGTTTAGGAGGAGGTGGGGGTGTGGGAGTGTGGCGCGGTAGATGAAGATGAATAGTGATTAGTTAGATTTTTATTTTTTTTTTAGATTTTGAATTTTAATTCAAAGTTGCCATTTTACCATTTCTAAAATTGGTCAAAGTGAAATTTAGCACCCGTTTGAACCTTATTATTTCTCATTACATTAAATTAAAATTTTCTCTCTTTTACTTTTAACCACACAATTTCTAATAAAATAATATTATACGTAAATCAAAAACTTTTAAATCACTCATTTTTCAAAAAAATACTATTCATCTAATTATAATGTCAAATAATAGGGCTCAAACACACCCTAACTAACGATCAAACTAACGTAAATTATCCATTTGGACATTAAGTGCTAATTTTTGAAAAGTTTGGGACGGTGGTTGACACAAAGTAAAGGTTAAGGTAAAGTCTACGAAAAATCTAAAGGTTTTGGACCGCTATTGCAATTTTCCCTTATATATATGTAATTCATCTCATGAAATCATTCAAAAAAATCGGCCGGCGAAATTATTCTTTACCTGCAGGCCAGCTTCCATATTTCATCCCTTAATTAGATATTTAAATGTTTGGCTTATTTTCAGAAATCATACAAGCTAAAATGTTCAATTTTATATTGCTTTCAGTACTGGTGATAGTTGCAGTCTTTGCCGATGCTGCCTCCACCGCAAAGCCAGGCTGCCAATCCAATTGTGGAGACTTGACTGTAACCTATCCGTTTGGCATAGGAATAGGAACAAACTGTTCAATAAGCTCTTGGTATGACATAAACTGCAACACCACTTTCAATCCTCCAAAGCCCTTCCTTGCCACCACAAACCACGAAATTATTGACATATCCAACGAAGAAATACGTATCAAGAATTCGGTAGCAGCCCGATGCTATACAGAGACTGGTAACGTAACCCGGGAAAACCACATAACGGTAGACTTGGCTGTTACACCTTATAGCTTCTCTGAAAAAAATAAGTTCACAGTGGTGGGCTGCGATGATTTGGCAGTGATCATCGGCTTCAGCTTCAGCGGCCGGAATTTCACCAGTGGCTGCCTTTCTGTTTGCTCTGATACTAAAGATATGAATGATGGATTTTGTACAGGAATTGGTTGTTGCCAAACTCCCATACCAAAAGGCCTAAAGACTTTTGCATCAGCACTTAATAGTCTTGATGATCACAAAATGGTTTGGCCCTTTAATCCTTGTGGTTATGCTTTTGTTGGAGATCAGGATGCATTTCAGTTTCGAACCTCGGAACTTACTAATCAAAGTTTTCAGAATAAAACAATTGAAAATGTTCCAATAGTTATTGATTGGGCTATTGGGAATCTGAGTTGCAGTGAGGCTATGAAGTCTGATGAGTTTGCTTGCTTTCAGAACAGTGTTTGTGTAGATTCAGACACAGGTCTTGGAGGATACCGCTGTAATTGCTCGACAGGATACGAGGGCAATCCGTATCTAAGTCCAGGCTGCACAGGTTAGTTTTTTATTAGCACTTTTCCAAGTGAAATTTAACGAAAGATTTATTTTTCCATCGTCATCCCTGATCGAGGTTTCATTCACTGCCTTTTTTATGGATTTTTCTCTGTAAAGGTCTTCATGATCAGATTTCCATGCACTGGAACATCTGTGCTTGTCGTATTTTTTTTCGGTTGGCAGATGAATTAAAATTGAAAGTGGTTTATCAAACGTGGAAGAATGAGTCAAGTAGCTATTAGTCCTTTTCATTGAAAAGTAATCGTACTTTTTAAATTTAAGGGTTGAATCCACCAACGCCACCCAATTTTGGTTGTCTAATTTGATTTTGTTTCATCACGACCAATCAACTTTATATTTAGTGTCATCATAACCACCCAATTTGAATTTATTTAACCATGGCCACCGAATTTCATAAAATATTTCATCATGATCACCATATTTCATATAATATTTTACTATGGCCATCCAACCTCTTTTCACCATTTTCACTCATTTAAAAGGGTAAAATAGTAACTTTGAATTATATATAAAATAAATTTAAAAAAATAAATAAATATTTATTTTAAAAAATATAATAAAATAAAAAGTTATTTGAAAAAAAGTTACTTAAAAATTAAAATAAAATAAAAACTATTTTAGAAAAACAATTTTATTTTATTTTTTTAAGTAACTTCTTTCAAATAAGTTTTTTTTTATTTTTTTAAATAATTTTTTATTTTATTTTGTTTTTTAAGATTTATTTTATATATAATGTAAATTTACCGTTTTACCCCTTTCGAAATGAGTAAAAAGGGTGAAAAGTAATTGAGTGGCCATGGTGAAACATTTATAAAATTGGATGGCTATTGTGGAATAAAATCAAATTGGATGGCCATGATGACACAAAATCAATTTGGGTGACTATAGTAACACTAAATACAAAATTCGGTGGCCACGGGTGAATTTAATCCGAAATTTAATTAATCTTAATGGCCCTCTTTTTATTTTTTGTTTTGGAAAATAACAGTCTAAATTACTCGTGATTTTTAATGGCCCTCCATTCCATTTTTTCTTACATTAGAATATTTCCAAAATGGAACATAATGCAAAATGGAACATAATGTACCTGGGTAGAAATGTTATTTAGGTAACATTAGGAGATGTCACACTAAAAGTGCAGAAAATAAATTTGCAACAAAAGGGACATAATAAATATATATAAAAATATCTCTCTTTGTTTAATAATGATAATCTTGATGTTGTTCCGCAGACATTGATGAATGTGAGAACAATCCATGCGACGAAAATGGAATTTGTACAAATACTCCAGGTAGCTTCAGCTGTTCCTGCAAACATGGATACACGGGCAACGGAACAAAAGAAGGACGTGGTTGCATTGCCAAGAATTCCCAGTTCCCAGTAATCAAGTTTTCACTAGGTGATTCGTTTGTTAATTATTAAAAAAAAAAAAAAATGGAAGTCAATTTATAGAATCGTAACTATTTATTTGCATTGATAGAAATCTATTTGTTTTCTTTTCTTGTATAATAATAATGGAATACATTACGGTAAAAGTTGGGGTTGGTTGTTGAATTTATGTCCAAAATTTTCATCTTGTCGTTTCTTTGTTGAAATTTTGTTCATTATGTATTTTTTGTGATATTTCAGGTTTCAGCATGGTCTTTGTGTCGATAATCATTGCTATGGCATGGCTATATTTTAGCGTCAAGAGAAGGAAGCTTGTTAGAATGAGAGAACAATTCTTCCATCAAAATGGTGGGCTACTTTTGAAGCAGCAAATTTCTTCAAATGAGGGTGGAGTAGAATCAACCAAAATATTTTCTGCTGAAGAACTTGAAAAAGCCACCAACAAGTATGCAGAAGATAGGATTCTTGGCAGAGGTGGTTATGGTACAGTTTATAAAGGAATTTTATCTGATGATCGTGTAGTTGCAATCAAGAAGTCGAGAATAATGGATCAGAACCAAATTGAACAATTCATTAATGAGGTAATGGTCAACTACCTTGTCTAAAAACTTAAATTATTAAACCAAAAACAAATTAATTTAATAAAATTTCTGTCTTCAACACATTCCTCACCCTCTTACATGCACTCCAGATTTCGTCTTTCATTAAAGGCATCTGGCATCATATGCACAATTATCTTAATGGCGAGGTCGAGACTTTGAACACATATCATTGGGTGCTATAAATCATTGCGTGCTATAAGATACCATATTGAACTACTTCATTTCAAAATTAAGTTGTTACGAGGGACAAACTTATTAATTTAGATTTTTATCTGCTACAGGTGATTATTCTTACCCAGGTTAACCATCGAAACGTTGTGAAACTGTTGGGATGTTGTTTGGAGGCTGAAGTTCCTCTTCTGGTATATGAATTTGTTTCAAACGGCACACTTTATCACCATATACATAATAATGGTGAAATGCCTTGGTTTTCTTGGGAAAATAGGCTAAAAATTGCTGCCGAAGCTGCTGGTGCATTATCCTATCTTCATTCAGCAGCTACTATGCCTATTATTCATAGAGACGTCAAGTCGAGCAATATTTTGTTAGACGAATTATATACTGCTAAAATATCTGATTTTGGAGCTTCAAGATTGGTTCCCTTAGACCAAACACAAGTAACAACACTAGTTCAAGGCACTCTAGGCTATTTAGATCCCGAGTACTTCCACACGAGCCAATTAACCGAGAAAAGTGATGTCTATAGCTTCGGGGTGGTTCTTGCCGAACTTATGACAGGAAAGAAACCTCTTTCACCTACGAAATCTGAAGAAGAGAGAAACTTGACTACATACTTCATTATGTCCATTAAAGAAAACAGATTTTTTCGAATTCTTGAGCCACGGATTTTGAGGGAAGGTAGCTTGGAACAACTGCAAGCTGTTGGTGAGTTAATCGAAAGATGCCTCAATTTGAAGAGTAATGAAAGACCAACAATGAAAGAAGTGGCAATGGAGTTGGAAAGATTAAGGAAATATACAAAACATCCATGGAATCAACAAGGAAATGTAGAAGAAAACATGGCGTTGTTGAGTGAACAATCGGACCTATATGATATCACAATAACAGGTCAAGAACTTACTACTGAAATGTACTCTGAACAAGGTAGTTTATGTAGTCATATGATATATCCTAGCAACAATCCTCGTTAAATAATTTGTAATGAAATTAATTCTTTTGTGTACACTTATTTTATTCTTAGATGTATTTTTGGGGACTGTGTAAAATTCTTTTTATTACAATCTGGCACATAAATTTTGTACAGGCAAATCAGAACTATCTAGTTGAAACAAAATGTACAGATAATTTTTTTTAGTACTTAAATATTTTCACTCAATGAAAATGGGGTAACGATTAGATTCCAAAAAATGCAAGATATCAAACCACTAACTCAATCGATGCAAATTTGAAGGACAAACAAATTGGTAGAGTAACCAATTCTTAAATGGAATAAACTCCTTGTACAGACCCATTTGCATAGGGTCTGTACAGGGCCTCTCACATGAGGGTGAACCCTACATGTGGACCCCATGTGTGGGGTCCACCCCGATGTGAGAGCATCTGTACAGACTCTGTGCAAATGAATATGTACGAATAGCACAACTCTTCTTAAATATAAAACCCTTCATTATATGAGATCGTAGTCTGATTTCAACCTCCATTGTGTCCATGTTGTGTTGTATGATAGAAAAGATGACCATCTCACTGAAAGAGTTGCTACTTTGATTAAACACTTTTAATTATGCCAGTTTTGTATTCTTTGATAGTAATTTGTCAATTATTTATGGAAATTATAATCATTTTGTAACTATGTTGATGGATTTAGTACTTTCTCGATATCTTATAACAATCAAGAAATTCTAGATGTACGGCCAATGGAATCAGTACCATCAAATCAGAGTCTCATGCTCCAGTAGTTGAGAATAGCTCACACACCCTTTGCACATCAGCACTTGGGACTGAGCTTGCTCTAAATGATATTTATTAGGTTTTATGTAATTGGCAATTTTGTTAACAAAAGGACCAAATAAATATGTTATAAAAATTTAAGAAGTTAATTGCAATATTGTATAGTTGAGTTAGGTAAGTTAGGGTTCGAGTTCAGAATAAGGAAAGAAGACACCTCGCAATTTCGCTAGCCTATTGCCAGTCTCTCGCTCGAGCGACAGATCGTCGCTAGCTCCTCACTTGAGCAACAATGTTACACGTAAAAGCCTACTTCGCATTTTTGCAAAGTTTTACTCAGTCCAAACTATCTAATTGTCCTCAACTATAAATACTCAATGCCTAGCACGAAATTTGCAGTGGTTGTTCATTGTGCCTCTTCTCTATAACACATTCATAACATTCTTTGAAGATCTAAGAGCTTGTTCATGTATTGATTCAATCCACTTATTTTTGAGATCATATAACCACATATTAGGGAGAAACATGGAATCCATTGAATCCAAAACACCTATTTCCTAAACACCCTTAGAAATGTACTTTCTCAGTTAAATTTTTGAGGCTACTGAAGGTTGAGAAATGTTGGACTACAAGCGCATGAAGAGTACTAGAATATATATATTTGCTTGTTATGGAGAGCTAAGTTGTAAGAGTTTCATTACCTTTACCTCTTGTCAAACCTTGGGTATTTATAGTTGAGGAGAACCGTTAGTTATGGGACACGTGTATGCATCCGACGGTTTGAGGCTTCTGCTCATAGGCGTCAATCAGTCTCGTCCATAGAGTGGGCAGGTAATTACTTCTTCCGAGTTGAGTTGACATAAAGTTGATACGTCACATCAACTATGCTCATGGAGACGTCAAATCAATTAAACCTTGGCGGCAGAAAGGATCTTGACACAGATCTATTTCTGAAATTGGCGGCGGATCCTCTCGAAATGTATTGCGCCTCGACTTTAGGGGCGAGGACGCTTCGGTCAGTTCAGTAAATTGTCTGTGCCTCGCAGTGCGTTAGTAGATCGACAACATTAGTGGTGACGTCACTTCGGTTGGGTGTTGAACACCTCGTATAACGCGGTGGTAGACTTTCCGAAGTGGTTCAGATAGAGGCGTAACAATGGTCCTCCCAAGTTCAAGCATGAATATTTATATCATGGGTGAACTTGCTTTCCCAATCGGGTATGTCTGCCTCGGGATAGGGACCGTGATTTGTGAGAACTTGTGGGTCGGTTTTCTGTGTTCACCGAAGCATTGACCTTAGGCAGATGCGCTAAAGCTTCATTACTGCGTAAGGAAAGAACTTATCCGAGATCGATGTGCTGCCAACTGGACGATGCGTTGGAAGACGGTCGAAGTTTTGTAAAGCTTAGCAGGAAACGCAGCTACTGAGGCGATGACCCACAGGGGACTCCGCGTTAGGTGTGTCTAAGTTTCGTAAAGCTGAGTGAGGAGCTCATCTGCTACCGGTGTGCTGACCCACAGAGGACGACGCGTTGGGAGATGGCTAAAGCTTTGTAAAGTTTAGAAGGGAACGCAGCTACAGAGGTGATGACCCATAGGGGACTCCGTGTCAGGTGCGTCTAAGCTTTGTAAAGCTGAATGAAGAGCTCGATCTGAAGCAGGCATCTCTGACGTTAAATGATTTGACAGCTGTCACGTATTTCCAAGGCAACAGTTGGGTGTGACGCCCATTCTCCTAAAAGTCTGTTGCGGTTACTTATTGTAGACGGCTGGTGGTGATCGAGGCAACGCGTTTTATGCGAGCGCAAGGGGCACAACTAGATCTCAGGCGTAGATCAAACCTGGTGTTTCATTTCAACGGCCTAGATTGATGATGCGATGGATGGCCCGGATTGATTGCAATTGAATTGAACGGTGGAGCTCAGTTGGAGCGCTCTATAAAAGGCGGACTTGAGCGTTTGGTAGTTTTTCACTTTTGTGAAATCAGAAACTCCCTTTGCTCTCAAAAATCTTGCACTTTCCGGCATTCCTCAAGCATTTTCTGGTGAGAAATTCCAGTTTTCGGCAACTCTACGGTCTCTGCTAATCATTTTCGGCTATGGAACTCGAAATTTCGTGAGTTTTAGTAAGTGTTTAAAACTTTTTCATTCCTGAAAAATGGCTTCTGAGGGTAGTGGTAGATCGGGGAGGGGATTGAAACTAATGCGGATGGACGAGCTCATTCTGGTGACCTCCTCTGAAATAGCCGAAGCGATAATTGGGGGGGGAGAACATATGGAAGAGGCCAGATAGCCCATAGATGCATTTGTACATTGGGGAGCATCGGATTACCCCTCTAAGCTAAAGGGTACCGACCTGGAAAGACTTAGAGCTGAATATAGGATCCCTGATAGCATAGATCTGATCCAGCTGGAACCTGATGAGCGGGCATGCTACCCTAGGCTAGGGTGCGTAGCAATTAGATAGGCGATTCTTAGGGCTGGCCTTAGGCTTTCGATCCACCCATTCTTCCGTATGGTACTTAGGTCGTATGACTTAACTCCTACCCAATTGAACCCGAACTCCTGGAGCCAAATGGTGGGCTCCTGGATGTTGTAGAGATGCCCTTCTCTATTTTTCAGACCCTTTATATCCCCAAGGTGGTGGCTGGAGGGGATAAGACCAGGGGTTGGTATTACCTGACCTCATGGGGTTTCCGCATTCCATTCGTGCTTGATGTGCCAAGCTCCATTATAGAGTGGAAGAGCTCGTGGTGCTGGGCTACCGAGAGATGGGACATGATGGAGGGGGACCCTTTGACACCTCTTACGGTCCCCACGAAGTATTCAACACTTAGTGAGTACTGTTGTTTTGCGTTTTCCTTTGTTCGTCTTCGATTCGGATCATAACTAATATTTGTGTTCTTTTAAAGACACTCTTCCTCGATGTGAGCTTTCTACCAATGGCTTCGACATCAGCTGCATTATCTATCAGCTGCCTCCGAAGAAGAGGTCATACTACCAGCTAATTAGGAAAAACATCCACTTCGTGACGCACGACTTGATGGCCTCTTTCAAGGTAAATGTCCCGAAGCGAATGCCTTTTAGTACTTTTCAAACTCTTTACACTTGTACTAATTTGCTTGTTCCTTTGCAGATAACTTTAACAAGAAGCTGCCTCTGAGGCCAGACTTCAAAACCATCCAGAAGATGATGGCAGAGGCGAGAGCCCTGAGACCTCTTTCTTGGCATACAAGAAGCAGATGGAGGATATGGTGGATGCCAGCAAAAGGTTCCAGCCTCCGATCGAGGAGGAGGTGGCGGAGGACCCAAACGTAAACCTGCTGCGGAAGGGCAAGAAACCTGCTGCCCCATTGAAGCGCCCAACTGTGGCGAGGCAGACTACCATTCCTACCGGGATAGCCATTACAGAGAGGACGCTTGCACCATCAGAGGCTTCCCCCACCCCGGCCACATCGCCAGTAGCCGCTGTGTAAATTGCCCAAGTGCCGGGGCAGCCAAAGAGGAAAAGAGTCCATTCCTCGAAGGAGGTGGACTTTTTGGGCACCATTTCGGGGGAGCCAGTGAAAGAAGTGCTGGAGGCCCTTCCTCCGAAAACGACTGCAGTAGCAGTGGTCCACAATAAATATTGGACCAAAGAGTGAAGAGAACACATCGCCTCATGCACCATTGAAGACTTGGTCGACGAACAGTGCCTGCGTGACCCGGGCTCTCAGCACGAGCACCCAACTCAAAGGCTTGGTGAAAGGCCTGAGAGGGAAGACCTCACCAAGCACCTCGAGGAGGCGGTGCACTATGGGAACACAGTGAGGGAGGCTCGGGCCAAGGCCTAGGAAGAGGAGAAGGCGAGGAAGGAAGCCGAGGCCCAGATGGCCACCGCCAGGGGAGAAATACAGCGGCTGAAGAAAGAGCTCTATGAAGTGGAACGCCAGGTGGCTACTATCACCAGAAGAATGGATCATGCAAACAAACGCCACCGACTCGCCACGGAGGCTCTAGAGGCCTCAAATAAAGAAAAGGCGGAGCTGAGGCAAAGGGCGGATGCCCAAGCTAAGGAGATCGCCTCCCTGAGGGAAGAGCTTAAGTCGGCAGGGGAGGTAGCTGTGCAGAATTTCATTGACCACTTCGAAGAGCATTCCCTGTATGACGATTTTACAAACTTTTGGACCTCGTGGTATGCCCAAGGACTATTGGGTCGGCTGAAAGAGGTTTACCCCACACTGGACATATCCTTATTGGAGATAGAGTTCGGTGGGCCTACTGGAGGTCGGCCTGATAGGTTCGCAGAGGACGCTCCAGAGGCCCCTGGGACAAGCGAGGCGGAGGTCGGGGTGGAAGATGCCCCAGTAGAATAGAG